GACCGCCGGCGATAGCTGGTTCCACAGAGTGGTTGTGCGGGGCAGAAAATGTCTTAAAAATCGCACTGTTGTGGAACGCTGGACATCGAGGTGGTGTGGATGGAATTTAATATTTTGGCGCGATGTCCGATGATGAAATTCAGCAGCCGGGATCAGTCCGAACAATTCCTCGGAACACTCCCCGTGATAAATGCGGTAGAAGATGCAGAGTGATCCAACATCATTTATTCAGTATATTACATTAAATTGATTACAAGTTTGCATTATACGTTACTTGTAACTACTACGTATGTAGATGATTGATGAAGATGAATCATTTAATCTCCAGGTATTTTTCGTAAGGTCAAATTTTTGTATGAGGAATATTTTTTTTGAATTACAAAGCAGCCTATCTATCACTTGTCTATCAACAAGTCTTGTAACAAAATCTAAATAAATCAATGATTACTAGGAGGGATAATTTTCGTGAGGAAATTATAATGTTAGTAAGCCGTGTAAAATAAATAATGACTCCAGGCTGTTACTGAGGCTTACTAAACAGAAAGACGCAATAACTAAACTTGGCCCGAGCCGGGACTCGAACCCTCTTGGTTCGCAGACGCAGACATGTTAGCCACTACAACACCGAGGAATAATAATAGTAATTCAAATAAATTACATTTAAATATTTAAAAAAAATACAATTTTTTTTCGTTACTTCATAGACATGGTATTAGTATCAGTTATTAGTTTAGACAATTCCTAAAGCCATTACCATGCAATTTTGTAAATGCTATTGGCAGGTAGTAAATAAAAAAGTTAATTAAGTTATATCTAGAATAAATTATTTTTATAAATTCACAAGAACTATATTTACCATAATAATGTTATAAATTATTATAGCATATTATTGATAGTGGAATATTGAATGCATCGCTTCCAAATTGTAATAAGACAATAAATTGACACCTGACTTCAGGCACGCATCATCTCGCCCATTATTAGGCTCCGATCGTGCATAAATTATGCCGATCACCTTATTATCCACGAGTTCTTTATTTACGACCTGCATTCAATGTAATCATTCATTTATACCATGATTACCTTCCAGATTTATGTTTAAAAAAGGCAAACATATAGTATTACTAATATCATGTTTTGATCGTTTTGGTATGAATTTAAAATTCCTTATGGGATTTTGATTCGTAATATTATGTTATTAATTTTTTCTTTACTTTTTTATTGTAGGGAGGGCAAATCTGCACATTAAGTTTATTCTAATTTTATTTCTTATAGGACAGGGTCTATAGTAGCACGTATACCTTTTCATAGTGTAGTTTCCAGTAGAGTGGAAAATGAAGATGTCAAGGGATAGGGGACAAAAATGTGTGAGAAATTTCTGCGTAATTCGTTAATTGCGACTAATGCGTCTTCATAATTTGGTATATGTGTTTACTTTCAGTAAAAATTCCGACCGGGAATGACAGGCAAATTTTGTCTTATAATATTGACATACCTTAAAACAGTAAATAAATGTTATCATGCACCATTACAATTTACAATCTATCATTTAATAAGACCATATTATAACGAATGATATTGACCATGGTTTTGTTTTTATTTTTGTCTCTTTCTTTGTTTGAACATTATGCGAAAACTTCACTTTTGATAGAATATTAATTGAGTATATTGTCTAAAAGCGTCTCTCGTTCAAGTTAATCGTCATCTTCATTGAAATTTGCCAACTGGAGGTATTATACATATTTCACAAGTGTGCCTGCAGACACAAGTGCATTCTCTATTCGTTTCACTCACAAACTCAGGTGAAACGATATTTAACGCGACCAGTGAAATATCAGCCGTAGGATCGGTTCTTTCGTGTCAGCTTTACCTGCTGCAATAGAACAATTCAATAATTTAATTTGTCTCGACCTGGGAGTAATAAATATATATATATATAATATAGAAGGGAAAGAGGAGGTAATGGTTGTTTTTTAACCCCCGTCGCAAAAAGAGGTGTGTTATAAGTTTGACGTCGATGCCTGTCTGTCTGTCTGTCTTTCTGTGTGTCTGTTTGTGGCATCGTAGCTCCACAAACGGATGGACCGATTTCGATGCGGCTTTTTTCATTTGAAAGCCAGTTTCCTTGCGGTGGTTCATAACTATGTTAGGTTAATATCGGTCCAGCAGTGTAAGAGTATCAGTTTTTTTCCAAAATGATGTAAGGTATTTTGGCTTATGATTCTATGAATCTGGATTAAGTGCTTCATGCGTGCCAGTGTAATTTTAAGATTGTTCCTTAAACTATAAATATCTTTTGCGTAGGGGTTTTTTTAATTTTTAATTTAATATGATATTATAAAGACAATATAGTCTTACTCTATCTGCTTTAGTCTTTCGTGGAATTAAGTTCGTTATGTGCTTAGAATTACTAAAACCCAAAGAGGTAATGTTATTCACCTAGTTTGGTTTTTGCATCTGCTGTCATAGCAATAGGTATATCATACGAACATACGCTGAAACGCCAGTAATTCTTTAAAGGAACCCTTTATAAATACATATTTATACATACATACATATCCTCATACCTAATAAAATATTTAAAAAATATTTTAATTGAAAGTATGCGTAATATTGTAATTATGATCATTGTTAGCATCAATTTAATTGACTGCTTCGAGTAATAGTCGTAACTGTATTTTCAACTATACAATTCTATGGTTTACTGTAGGGTAATGACATTAATTAAAACGTAAAAACTACTTTGTATCCTTGCCATCTTTACGTACGAGACAGGTTTGTAGTTTTTACTTCATAACGGCGCTACAAAAGGCTAATTTTATAAGTCCATAGCAGAATAATTAAAACTTGGTGTTCTTATATAGGTATTTACTAGCGGCTCACCCTCGCTTCGCTCCGGTTCGCCTCTAGAAAAACAAAACCAAATCTATCCCTCGGGAACCGTATATTTTTCCCGGATTAAAAAGTAGCCTATGTGTTACTTCAGACTATAATCTATCTCTGTTCCAAATTTCATCCAGATCTGTTCACCCGTTCTGACGTGAAAGAGTAACAAACAAACATCCATACATACATTCTCACTAACTTTCGCGTTTATAATATTAGTAGGATATTACTACTTCATTAAATGAAAGTGCGTGTAAGCGACAGTCATTGCTGTAAACATTTGTAAATTTAATTGTGTTAATTTTATCTATCAAAATATGTATACGTTGGCTATGTTTTTGATTCAAACTCTTTATTGTAGAAAGCTATTATTGCTCTACTCACTGAACCGTTTTTTGTATTTACATCATTTACTCTCAAACTCCATTGGATGTCAATTCAATACCGGTGTACGATCAGGCGCAGGACCGTCGGCTTTGCGTGCTCTTCTAAGCACGGCAGTGAGACACCGCCAACTTCCTAAATCTGGGCAGTTACTGAAAAATTTACACAGAAACCTCAATATTATTACTTAGACCAATCCGTGACTCCAACCCAAACCCTCCAAACCGTAACCGTGCTACCGTACATGCTAACCACTGTACTATAGAGGCAGTTAAGATAGTAGCTATAGAAAACACATGTGCACACACCTGTGCACTACAAAATCTACTATGTAGGTGGCTGTTGTTATTTATGAAAATCGGCCAGAAGGACATAATTTCAGGGTATAAATATAGAACTTAAATAAATATACCAAGAAAAAAAATATTAGTGAAATGTTCTAGCACATTTAATGTGTGAATATTTCAATTATTCAAGTAGTTTTTCTCTCATCGACACTATTTTGATAGTGTTGGATATGAATATAAGTAAGGAGTTGAAGATTCCAAATATGACGGTAAACGACATTGATGAAACGTTTATTGATAAAAACTATAAAGGTTAAGCATTATTTAACACATAAGTTGCACGTAGGCACTTAATTAAACATTGCTATTTTATATGACATGTATTTAAACATATACGATAAATAAATAAACGGTAACAATTAAATACATAGGAAAATTAAATCTATGTATTTATGGAAAAAACCTCCAATTAAGGTTAATTCTTAAATAAATCTTAGATAAGACTTGCTCTGTTAATCATTTTAGCGTATTAAGTATGTGACCACCTATAAGATAATTTATGTTTAGATAATATAAAATCTTTACAACAGTGCTCTTGTGCGAAAATAACATTCCATAGCATTTACCTAATTGATTATAATGTTTAGACTCACATATTTTATTAATATTTTAAACAATTGTTTTATGTATTGTATAAAATCTAATATATAAAATTTCCATGTCACAATGTTAGTTACCGTACTCCTCCGAAACGGCTTTACCGATTTTTATCAAATATTATATGCGTATTCAGTAGGTCTGAGAATCGGCTACTATCTATTTTCTATACCCCTTAGTGATAAGGATAAGGGTGGTCCTCCCAGACCCCACCCCAGAGACGAACCCGAGCGGAGCGAGGGTGAGTCGCTAGTATTATATAAAACTAGCGACTCACGTTCGCTTCGCTCGGGTTCGTCCCTAGTGTAAAACAAAACATATCTTCTATCTCACAGGTACCTTACATTTTTCCGGCATAAAAAGTGATCTATATGCTATTCCAGATTATAAACTATCTCTGTGATAAATTTCATCCAGATCCGTTCAGCCGTTCTGGAGTGATTAAGTAACAAATATCCATCCATTTGAAATTTTCGCCTTTATAATAAATATTAATGGGATACTTGGAAACGACTCTAACGATTTCGATCAATTTTTGGTACTTAGAAAAGGTTTTACTCTTTAAGTTTATCTAATATACTCGTATGTAGCTGTCTTATCTGAAAAAAAAACCTGGTGCTTTAAATTTAACATGGTTTAGTTGAATTTATTCAAAGATTAACATTTAAATTGCATAACAATATGCTTCGCGAATGTACATACATATATTTATTCTATCTCAAGTATATTTTCTTGTTACACTTCTATCATCACTTCGTAACACTTACAAAGTTTATGAAACACTTACAGCGCATTGGGTGGTACATCAGTGGCAGTTGTACGAGCGGTCGCTGTGCTCGCTGCTGGACCAGGCTCGGAAGCGATCGTATGGTGTGTGCTGTTCGCCTCGCTACGTGTTGGCCCCAGACTACGCGCCACACCTGTTCCCTCTGCCACTAGCCGCGCGCCACTCACCGCCGCCTGCGCACTTGTAGCGAAGCGAAGCGCCGCGACAGGTGAGATTTTCATACATATCTATCTATCATCTATGTTTTATTCTTTTCATTATTTATTCATATAGGCTTAGGGTCTCTGCACACTACGATAACGCGGATAACGCGTCGTTAGTGCTTATTCTATGCTGATAAACTTCAAAGGGCCTTTACATACCACGTTTCATAATCGCATTGATGACGGTGGTATTGTGAACGTACGATGTCCGCACATTTTATGCGCAGATAAACTCAAAAAATGCGGAATGCTTGCATTCGTATTAATACAAACGCATAAGAAGCGTCAACAGCGAGATAAAAACTCATCGAATGCACAAGCCCTTAAAAATGACACAAGTCCAACTAAATTTTTCATGCAAGAAAGTCTCTTTCGCTCACTAAACTTAATACCTATTATATGTAACTTGAGATTGGTTATGGTATGGATATCTACATATAGACAGATAACGCACAGCCTAATTAGTGGTCCAAAAATATTTTATATAACATAATAGAATATTAAAAAAGATTTATGAATCCTTATAGGGACTTAAATAAACGTTTGGACAAAAGCTCATTATTTTTGAAAGCTCACTTACTTTTGGTTGTTCTCACAATAAATCGAATAACAAAAGTACGTAGTTAAAATAATTCACTTTATTTAAAAGATTTTAAATATAATATATCTACTGAAGTCATGACATCAAAGACTTCTAAATTAAATTAAATTAGCATGAAATTCTTACTATTTGTATGCGAATATGAGTTTGTTGTATTGTGTGGAGCAACGGCTTGATGTGATTTTTTAATAGATAGGTAGGTAGGACCTATAACTTTGGAACCTAACACTCGTTGCTCTTATGACTCTATCTGTACCAGTATCTCCAATACATACATATAGTGCTTTACAGATTTCACATATTATATTCGTAAAGGCGTTATTATGCGTGTTATTGATTATTATTCACAGCTGTTCCTTTTTAAATACATAAATAAATAACTTAGTAAGAGTTAAGCAGAACAATTACATGATATTTTTATTTTAAGCGTGGGTGTCACATATTTCATTAATGATATAACTAGGCATCGTAAATTATATCAAGTCCAAATGACTATAATTTCAGAATACCATTGTTTGCTATTGTTAACTAATGCGTTTTTATACATGCACGTGTTATTGTTACCTTCTGAAATTAAAAAGGTGTAAAAATCGACAGCATTTTATAGCTACTGGCAGCATTAATCATGTCTTTTACGTTTATGCAAATGCAATGCAATTTAAGTAAACAAGCTGTCAACTATAAATTAACACAAAAAAATCTCATTACGTAATTTTTATTAACCGAATTCCAAGAAGAAGTTGTTAGGTGACAGAAGGATACGATGGTCGATGGTTTTTACCCGACTGCAAGGAAATGGTTGTTTTTCGCGCCTATCTTTGTATGTTTGTTTGTTTGTTGTTTGTGTGTATTTTTCGATTACAATGAAATATCTGGGTCGCTATATTATATACATTATACATTTACGTAATTGATATTATTTGAAAGTGTAAGTATAGGTAGGTGCTCGCGCAGTGATCCTGACTAACTGAGATTCAAAATATACAAAAACAAGTATATATATATTAATGGGATGGGAAATAATTGAATATATATATATATATATATATATATATATATATATATATATATATATATATATATATATATATATATATATATATATATTCAATTATTTTTTTATTAACTTTAATTATTTTATTATTTTATTAGTCTTACATATTTTTATGTTTATAACTGAATAACATAAAAAAGTAGTTCAACAGTGTAAATGAGAATATTTCCACTAGTGCAGTGAAGAGTCAGCAAATGGTGCGCTGTTTAGAATTCCAAGGGGTTTGTCAACAGCAAAGGGCACTTGAGATATTGACGGCAGGAAGGAAGATAACGAAGGCAAGCCCCGGGGCTACTGCTAATTTTATATAAATGACTTGTCAACTGTAGTAATTTATATTCTTACTAATAATATACATGTGAAATTAAGTCTGCTTGTAAGAAAGTAGACTACAATATGGACCCTAAAAAGGTTCCCAGTGGATAAGGGATAGGAAATAGGAGGTTATACTCCTAATAGTATATGAAATAATAGGAAGAATAGCAAATAATAAAATATGAAAATATTTATTTTGAACTAGCGGCTCACTCTCGCTTCGCATGGGTTCGCCTCTACAAAAACAAAAACAAATCTATCCCACGGGAACCGTACATATTTTTCGGGATAAAAAGTAGCCCATGTGCTATTTCAGGCTATAATGTATCTCTGTGCCAAATTTCATCAAGATCCAACGTCCATCCAAACATTAAACTTTCACATTTATAATATTATGAAGATTAAATTACGTTACTACTATGGAGCTCTGAGGCTAATGACAGTTGTTTGTGTCCCAGAGATACCGTGGTGTAGACGATTTGGTATAAAAATTTATTTATTTTGATTGATTTGTGTAAACTATATATTTGATGATTATTAACCGACTTCCAAAAAGGAGGAGGTTCTCAATTCGTCGGTTTTTTTTTCTTTTTTTATGTACATATGTTCACCGATTACTCGAAGACGCCTGAACCGATTAGGATTTTTTTGTTTCAAAGGGTATACTTCCCAGATTTATCGAAATCGGCCGAGCGGTTTTTTAATAAATTGTTTAATCGAATATGTTATTAAAAAACTTTCTTCTTACAAGTTACCTGCTTATTAAGTCTACAATAAAAAAAGAAAAAAAAACTTTTTTAAGAAAAAATCGACTTCCAGGCACTAAAATGTAAAAATAACTAAACGGGGGTTTTCATTTAAAATAGATGCCTATTTTACGTATTTAAATATGTTAGATTTGCTTTGCATCGGCTGGCACTGACTTCGAAAATATCTGATTAGGTATCTATTTCAAATGAAAATCCCCATTTAGTTATTTTTTACATTTTAGTGCCTGAAAGTCGGTTTTTTTTAAGTTTTTAAATAGGTAGTATGCATAATCATTAATTAATATCTTTAATGTAATTTATCAGTAATTTCTACATATATAAATAAAATAAATAACATTAAACTGTAATTACTGTTTAAATGTTACATTGTGGCTAATTTTATATACGCTTTCAGATTAAATCGAAATATTTTAAAATAGTAAATATTCTTGATCAAGCTAAATAAACTAAGATAATAAAACTTCCTAGTTCCTAGTAATGAAATTATATGCTGTCCGGAACTTTTTCTTCTTTTAAGCTAAAAGCTTGCACCTCTTTTATTAGTGTATATAAATAGCTCCTAACAGTGAAAGAGGTAAAAATAAAAAAAAAACAATTTGTATAATAAAATTGTTTTTACAGCAGGCAAAGTATTTCAAAATATATTTATTTCATATAGGTATGTCAATAGTCACAGTAATTCTTTATGCTATGATTATTTTAGCTCGTATTCTAAAGCTTGTTGCTATTTGGTTGGTTGGATACTATCTTTTCAGCGTTTTTTAAATAATGTACCAAACATGTTATACTTTGTAAAGGTATAGGCATACAAAACATGCTTGAGTGTTAAATATGCGCAGTGTAGACTCCTTGTCTAATGAGGGCAGTGCTTCAGAGCTGCGAGGCTGAACACATTATGGTAATTTGTGCTTATAATATGTGATGTACTTATACTAATTAAAGAGTAATGAAACTTTATATTCTACATCAGAATCAGCGAGGTTCCGTTACACCAGCTAATACATGCAAAACAATGTAGTATTACATTATCCTCTTCTAATGAATATAACTGTAATGTTCCCGCATTTTCCTTTTAAGCTTAAATTTATAAGATTTTTTTTGCATTTTTTAATTGGTTCGATTACTGATTCAGGTAACATCTTTTAAAAAAATTAAATGGACTATTTTTATTTAAAAAAAGAGGTTCCTTTGAGTGAAATTTTATATTTTTAATATTTAAGACACTTTCCTTCCATATCCCGTACGTTTGTTCCACGACGGTAGAGTCGAAATGTATTAAATTGTAAGATTTCACAGTTTTCTTTAATTGTATGATACAATGTTTGTTCAAGAGATTTTATCCTGACCATAGACTATATTGGTTAGTTCAGTAAAATATTAAGGTATATTGTATTTTTAGTTGGCTCGATTACCTGTTCAGGTGACCTTTTTTAAAAAAAATGCACATGCAAAGTAGTACAATTTTTAAAACTGAAAGAATGTGTCCTTTGAGTAAAACTTGATAATTTCAATATTTAAAGTAATTTTTTTCCATGTCCCGTACATTTGCTCCATCCTTTATATTGTTGTAATATTATGTAATACTTATCTTACTTATTATCTTATAATACATTATATAATCTTTTAATATATTCAGTTATTCAGTTAATGATTCATTCAGTCAGTTATTCAGTTAATTATTCATTGTAATATGGTAAATAATTATTGGTAATTATAGTTTCTAGATATAATATCCCTTATTAATTCTTATCCTTCATTATTATATTACATTGTATTGTTGATAATTGTTATGAATTATGATAAATAAATAAAAAAATATCATACTAGCTTTCCTCCACGAATTAACTTATATGCCCCCTACTACTAATTGTCGATTTTAAATATAATTATATTGTCCGAAATTTTGTCTCTCCACGTGACCATGATTGCTTAGCATTCTGCCAGGTACTGAAAGTCTCTTCTTCAATAGCCACTAGTAAAACCTATTGTTTGGTCTCCTTCGATTTGTTTTGATGGGTCCCATAGATTACAATAGGTACCTAAACAAAAGTGCATATTTTTATTTATTTAGTTTTTAAAAACGTAATAAATTTTTTTTAAGTTTTGGCTTTTAGCTGATATACTCATATAGAGCTGGATTTGCAACTCTATAGTTAAAGGGAATGTGGATGTAAGAAAATCAAGGCGAACGACAAATATATTATTATTACATATCGCATTTATAATAAGTTCTTATGCAAGCCTGCCATAGTCAATAAAATATATTCATTTATTATTT